TAACTACCCACCTGTAAAGGTCTTCTGTTCTGGCTTGAAAGCATCGCTCAGGAAACTCCGGCAAACGTCGGCTGCTGAGAACCAGCGATATCAGCCGGTAATGATATAGGAACCTGATTAAGAAATATTGGGTCTGTATTAGGGCTCTTCATATGAATCCTAGTATTTTGGGTGTTATAGGGCCAGGGTTTCTTAATCAGGTTCCACATAAGATCTAACCACCGTTTCAGCCCGACTCGGAGGGGGTGTTTTGTTTGGCATGGCTAGGCGTGGGTCAGGACTGTCTTCAAGGTTGCAAGCTTTGACATGCAGTGATGCTGCGGCAGATTTGGCAACACAACGCGGATGCATTGATGGGAGAGAGTTGGCATTCCAACATAAAGCTCCAAACACAGAGCTCCATAAATCGCGTACGAAGCCAGAAACCCTACTTGCATCCTATGTGTTTAATACAAGTCCTCTGATGCGCTCAGTACTTCCCAAGGCCAATTTCACAGAGAGGGCTCTCTCTGCAAAGCCAAGAAAAGCCAGAACTCTGACAGAGCCGCTAGGAAACCGAAAGAGGCCAGAACCCTCATCTGGGTAGGGCCTTTGGGACATTTCAAGATTGTCCCTTGTTGGGCCTAACAGGATCTTATGTACGAATATGTTTCAGAGGCTTTAAAGGGCCAACCTATCATAGAGGCTCTATAAACCCCGACAAAGCTTCGTTGTTGCCTCGACCCAGACCCCGGGAGGATCTAGAAAGTAGATTCCCTAATTTGGGACCCTAGGGGGAACTTTATAGGAACCTCCTCAAGGGATCTACTTTCTGGATCCTCCCGGGGGTCTGGGGAACAGGGCATCCATGACCTGCCTTCGACGACTGTGGCTTGTCCTTGCAGAGTTGAGTTGCGTTGGGTTCTGTTGCAGGCTATTGGGGCTTAGAGTTCCTAGAGGGGCTTGGGGAGGTTTACTGGTAGGGTGTTTCAAGGGTCTGGGATTTAGGGTTTTGGGTTGGGAGAGTGCCTTCGTAGAGCTGGGTTTGGGATTTATTGGCCTCCTTTTTAACGATCCCCACTCCTTGCAGAAGATTCGTTTCGTGAATTACCCAGACCCTCGAGAGGATCTAAAAAGTAGATCCCCTAATTTGGGACCCCAACTACTAAAGCGTACTTTATAGGAACCCCTTAAGGGATCTATGTTTTGGATCCTCCCGGTGGTCTGGGTCAGTGTTTGGGTGCTTTTCCCAAGGGTCTTTGAGAGATGCTCGAAGGCCTTACTTGTAACCCTCTGAAAGTTCAATCGAGAAGGATGGCTTCCTTGTGTGATCTAGGGAACGTTGCTTGAGAACGGGTAATATATACTGGCCTTAGTCATTACCTGTACTATGTTGGGGGGGTTCCTTCTTATAACTATTATAGTATAAAATTCCCCCAATACCCTATTCTAATTCTTAAGGCCCCTACATTACGATGCCCCCATGGTTCTGCTCTCCGGGAGCCTTGCAAAACCCAGCAAAACCTTATCAAACTCTATAGAAGCCGTAGACAGCCCTTACCAAGAAGATAGTTGAGAACACGCCCCTCAACTAAGGAATGTCCCTCGAAACCACTATAGGGTCCTGTACGCTTTACCATTATAGGGTTCTCATTACACTTGACAGGCATATTCCTCAATTAATGTGTTTGTTGAAGGTTTCCTAGGCTCTTTGCAGATACATTATCACGGCGCTGCTCACTTTCGTTGAAGCAGGTTCCATTCCGTCCGGGCAGTGCGCGGCGCTTCGGTCGGAAAGGTGCGGTTGCTGCAAGTACGCAAAGCAATCAGGGTACGTAGTGTCCCCAGGCTATTGAAACTAGTTTTAGAATCGCAGGGCTGAGTAGTAGCTGTTGAAGCTTGCTCTTCCTGCTGTGGGCCCAGCGGAGATATCTACTGTTTTTCCTACTTACTTACTCCGTTGATCCTTTAAGTTAGAGAGCCTGTGATTGTAAGAGTTTCCAGGACCCGGGTAAAGCCCAACAGAACCTGTTAGTAGAATGTGTAAAAAACGGTTCTAATTTAATGACGCACTACGGAATCTCCAATCGAATACAACCTTGCAGCCGTAGAACCAAGCTAATGAGTACATTGTTGTATAGGGCAATCTCCTTATATGATAGTCTATACCGCCTCTAGAAACCTTGCTGGATTCTCCGACCCAGAAAATCTCAGTTCCTGGGAGTCCCCGACAGGAAAGCACGAAAGATAGCTTTGTTATTACTTTATCGGCCGACAGCATTGCAGAATGAAGGGGCGAAGTGAGAGAGCTTTCACATCATCCCCTTGCAAGCAAAGGTCCCAGCCTCTCGTAACCGGGTTTTCGTTCAGGAGCTCGGTAAAATAATAATAGAGGAACCTTGCCTGACATTGAACACGTCTCAAGGTGCATTATGAATCATGGGGATTGGGTTGGTCTGTGCAAGGAAAGCCTACTAGTTACTCCATTTTTCGATGTTAACTAAGAACTTCCTTGCCTAAGCCCTAAACCCCAAACCCCTAGGCCCTAAACCCTAAACCTTAAAACCCAAAACCCAAAACCCCAAAACCCGGAACTCCAAACCCTAAGAACCGTGACATGGCAGGCACCCCCGGATCCGTAGTTGGGCAGATTCCCTAACTCAGGCTTCGAGGCTTGGGAGACTTTGGCAGCTCCACTACTATAGGGACCTTAATAATTCTTTAGGTTTTGGGGTTTTGGGTTTAGGGTTTAGGGAGGGTTTTTTTTGGAGGGGTTCTTGATTATAAATAGAGTGTAAAGGGCCCTAAAACCCTACTCTAATTATTCAGGCCCCTAGATTACCCAAATCTTGTAAATGTACCTGACGGGGTATTTCTTGAAGTTTTGTAGGGTCTCTAACATGTCAGCCTCAGACATGTACAGAAGCCGTCTCTCCCCGCAGCCCAAGCCCCTACAAAACACACGGAATAGTACGTTAATGCCTGCAACTGGCAGGAAACCGTAAACCCCGAAACCGTAAACCCCGAACCCCCACTACAACCCCTGAGCCCTAAAATTCTAAATCCCCAAGCCAGAGCAGAGTTACTGGAAGGCCCCAGAGCCCCCAAAACTCTCTGGTGCTTAGTAGGGAATGGGGGAATGGATCCCGATGATAGTCCCTTAAGGTCCCTTAGAGTAGTCCCGAAGAACCCATTCCCCCATTCCCTACTTGGAGGTTCATGGGTAGTTACAAGTGGAGTTATAAGTAAGCTAACTATAACTATAACCCAAATTAGGGGACTTATAACCAAACCCTGAACCCTAAACCCTAAATCCTACTTATAACTACCCATGAACCTCCAAGTACTAAGCACCAGACAGAAAACTCGCAAGCCAGGAGGGGCTTCAAATTCCTGGTCCCGAGGAGGAGACTGAGGGTCCCAACCAAAACCCTAAAAGCCCAGCCCAGCCCAGCGCCCAGAGCCCCCAGCCCAGCCCAGCCCAAAACTTTCGGCCAATTTTTGGCACCCAAACCCTTAACAATTTCTATAAACCCCGAACCCTGAACCCTAAACCCTAAACCCTAAACCCAACCAAAACTCATCTAAGCTATGTACAATAGGTCTAGGTTTAGGGTTTGGTGGATTTGGGGTTTAGGGTTTAGGGTTTAGTGGATTTAGGGTTTAGGGTTTAGGGGTCTAGGACATTTTCAGGTGGGTAGTTACCGTTATAGGAGCCTTATAGAAGGTCTATATACCTTATAGAAGCCTTGTAGAAGCCCTATATACTCTAAACTCCGCACCTGTAGCTTCCTTTAAATAGGAGCCTACAATTTGCGGGGTTCCTTGTTAAGATTGTAGTCGAACATACCCCAAAACCCTATTCTAGTTATTAAGGCTTCTACAATAGGAGCCTTGATGAGTTTATAAACAAGGGCTCCTTCAGTTACAAGGGTTCTAGTATAGGAGTTTATACAGGGTTTCAGTTTATAATGAGTGCCAACAAGTAATATAGAAGCCCGAACAATTACCAACATTCTTCTGGGGTTCCTTATTCTAGTATAAACGAGCCAAAAACACACTATTCCAGTTACTAAGACCCCTATATTAGGCTTCCTTAAAAGCGGTCCTTAAAGGGTTTTGTACAGGGTTAACGGCAACGACGTACTGGGGCAATCGGCCCTTGAGGGCTGCAGCTAGGGTTTAGGGTTTAGGGTTTAGGGTTCAGGGTTCAGGGTTTAGGGTCATATAGGGGCCTTAATCATTACCTATACCATTTTGGCGGTTCCTTATTATAGTTATAGCATAAACCCTATTCTAATTGATGTTAAATGACAACACGATACCCTGGGGCCCCAGAGTATAATTACACTATAATAGAGCCCAAAACCGGGTTTAACTAATTTCGGCCCATTAGGGGGCTAATAGGGTTAAGTATGTGGTCTTAGAGGGCTTGGTCACTTTAGTCTTTAGGGTCTGGGGTTTCGGGTTTAGGGTTGAGGAGTTGATGGTGATACCTCTATCTGGTGGGCCAGTACAAATTGTGTATGTGATCCTTTGTCCGAAATTTAGTGGCACTTTGGGTCTACATATCTACAGTCGGCGCCCGGCACTAATACCATGCGATCCTCGCGGCTCCAGGACAACAAAGAGACATCGACAAATGCGCGCGCTGCTGCAGATGCGATGTGCCCCTTGGCTTGGGATGTTTGTTACACTGCCTCTAAATCGAGTGGTCTGGCATCTGCGTTGCAGAAGATGCCCCGTGAGATTGCACTCGCCGTCGTGCTTTTGTGTCAGCATCTACTAAGGATGGGCCACTTGACGTTTAACCAATGCAGGACCCTAAACCCTCTAACTGGCCACAGAGACTTCACGCGTCGTGACCCCCTGATGCTGCCCCAGCCTGACTTCAAAGGGCCTGCCCTAAGGTGCCAAGGTACCCTGTAGGTCGGAATAACTTGTAATCCTAGTCTGAAGGATTCCTCATTGACTTCAACTATAATTTTAAACGCTTCGCGTCGTCCGCCTCGGCCCGGCCGCAAACAAAGAGGGCCAACGAACTGCTGGTGCTGAAGGCGCCGGCGGAGCGGGTGAGGGGAAAGGGATTGCGTTCGGCGGCGCACCAACCA